CAGGGGCACCGGAGCAGCTTACAAATAGGGCTCTCTCGCCCCGGAGCTCGCAGGTAGCAATCCGCCACCTCAACCTCCGGGGCGAGAAAGCCCCGTTCGTAAGTGCGGATCCGATATAAGTCGGATCCGCGTAAGTCGGGGACTGCCTGTAGCCTCTCAGAATGTCATCTCTTTGGGCAATGCTGCCCATTTTCTGACAAGCACAAGTATCTCCTCACATCACTCTACAGACTTTTGATTCATTTCAGGATCCAATTCAAAACTGCCCTCTTTGATTTCAAAACCCTCTCAAGACACAGCCTATTGTACTTTGCTAACCTTGTCTTCCTCTCCCCACTCTATCTACATGTCTAGCATTATTCTTTTTTCTGTTTCTCAGTGAGTGCTGGTTCAGAATCTTTTTCTTCTGCAGTTAATTTTGCTTGGAACAACCTCTCTATCTTCAGCTACCTGTCACTCTGTACCTTAATTCTTTGAAGTGGTTTGTGGAATAAGTTTATATATGACGTTATAAAAAATATTTTGTTATTTTTCTAACTGATATAGCACCCGTTGTGCAGTGTCTCAGTTGTGCACAAGGGAAGAAATAACAAAACCATATTTAAACAATTTAGTTCAAGTGGACCAGGAAATACGCAACTCTAATCAAAACAAGATGAGGCTTCTGAAAAGGGAAGGGAAATGGTCAGATACAACAGCTACAGAGGGACTCCAGCCCTTGATTCACTACGGCACTTAAACACATGCCAAAGCACGTTGCTGAATTGGGATCCTAATGAATATATTCCAGGAGAGAGTTCCTCAAACAGGTCTCCTGCACTAAGAAGGCCCTGCCCTAGTCTAGTCTAAATGAAATTTTGAACTTTAAAGATAATCAGCATCAGCTTGGGAGGGACAAAGTGGAAAGATTATCACTTATATAGACCCAGACTAGATTGCTGACGATTTTATCTCACACGGATAACAAGAACTTTAAATAAATCTCCTAATTTAATAGCACCCAGTGCAGATAAATGGAATGTGGAACATCCACTCCCAAAAAAGGAGCTGGGTGGCCATATTCCACAACAGCTTCAACCTTTGAATCAAGTTCAGGGAGACAAAGGACAACAGCTTCAACCTTTGAATCAAGTTCAGGGAGACTTAGGGGCTACATCTATGGCTATGTCTATACTACAAAATTTTTGCGCAAAAACCGGCGAAACATCTACACCTCAAGCACGTTTTTGCATAAGTAAATCGGCAGAACAGAGGGCTTTTGCTGATAAGAGTTATTCTGCTCCCCAGAAGAATAACTCCTTTTTGCGCTACAGCTCTTGCGCAAAAAGGCAGGTGTGGACACTCCAGAGGGGTTTTTGCACAAGAAACCCCATCAGCAAAAGTACAGGTGCTTCTGTGAATGACAATCAGAGCTTTCTTGTGCAAGAGTGTCCATGCAGTGTGGACGCTCTCTTGTGCAAAAGCACATCGCTTTTGCGATACGCTTTGAGGTCTGGACGCGCTTTTGCGCAAGAAGTTTTTGCAGAAGATCTCTTCCACAAAAGGCTTCTTGAGCAAAAACCCTGCAGGATAGATGAAGCCAGGTAGAATCCAAGTGCAATCATCTAGCCTGTATTTTTTTTTAAATATTGTCCAACAATACGCCACTTACCTAGAAAGCTGCTGCAGAGCCTCTAGACGCTGCTGGGCCCTGCCTCTCCATCTTCGGTCAATAAATGGGGGCACGGGGTATTTTTCTTCCAAACGCAGATTGTACCAGGGATAATGGATCAGGCTGCTAAACATAGTTTTAAAAATCGGCTCCTTTTTCTATTAATGTGTAGACAAGAGAAGTGGTGGTTATTTAGCAATTCCATGCAGCACTAAAGAGATCATATCTTCAGCTAGTGTTTTTGAGTGTGTATGTAAACAAGGCATGAAAAATATAGAGAGATTGAACAAGTTATGGTGAATAACAGAACTATAAACCTGGGTGATAGAGGTGACAGTATGTTCTAATTACATCAATCAGTAAGACAGTGCTTTCCAAAATGAGGTGCATAGAGGACTAAAGCATGGGGTATGCTGAGGCTAAGTATCAACCTATATAGCTGCAAATAAATCCTTGAAAATGCATCCCACGTGTAACTGATGCATCTACATTTCTCTAAATTGGCAGAAAGTCTAAAGTGATAGCTTTAAGATAGGAAGTGCCTCATTTATTTCAATGGTTGTTAATTCAGAAGCCCAATCAATGTACTGTAAGACTAAGAATATGCCTACATTGCAGCTGGGAGGTGTGATTTCCAGTGCAGGTACAACAGACCCTGTCAGACTGGCAGCAGCTCAGGCTAGCTGCCAGCATCAAAGCCCACCAGAGTGCAGGAAGCTGAGCTCAGGTGACTAACTGGAGTCACTTCCTGTGCTGTAACACCCACACTGCTCTTTTCAGCATGCTAACTCAAGCAGAGATAGCACAAGTCTGTATACCCATGCTGGGAATCACACTTCTTAGCCCCAGTACAGACATGCCCTAAATGTCAACATTGTGCTATTTCACTATTCATCAAAGTATGTAAGAAAGCAAAGGAAGATCTATGTACAGTAAAACTCCAATAGTTCGGCATCCAGTTGTACAGCACTCCCGATAGTCTGGCATCAAAATGGCAAGAGATTAGTGAGTGAGCTGCAGGTAACAATTATTTACACTGGGCTTGATAGTAAATAACAGTGATTTTATTAAGTACAAGCAGTAGGATTTAAGTGGTTATAAGTGAGAACAGGCAGAGAAAAGTAGATTGCAAACTTAAAATAACAGAAAACGCATAGCTAATTCTAACACTAAAATCTCAGTACAAACTTGTTACAAACTCACCCTAGACTTGTTTTTATTCCAGCTAAGCATCCAAAACCAGGAAAGTTCCCTCTCCTTAGAGTCTTTGGTTCCTTCCTTCGGGTGTCTCATGCCAGCCAAAGACAAAGACCGCTAAGATTGCCATTGCTCTCTGGATTCCATTTTTACATAGGAAGTTACCTGGCCAGTCCCTACCAGTTGGGGATGTCACATGACTTTCTAGAACCAACCACTGCTAAAACTTAAAGGACAAAAGGGGCTGTTTACATATGATTGCCCAGACATTGAGGTGCCCCAGCTTTGGAAACACCCTTGTTAGCACATTTAAAAACCATAAACCGTTCCATACTCGATATATCTAACTTTACCCACAGGAATGATACATAGACTAAAATAAGATATTCAGACCCAGCAGATTATGACATCAAGACTGATAGGTTACATAAGGCAATTTGTCCAGAGCACCTTAGAGTTGGGCATATCTGTGTCCACTAGTTCATTTTCTAAAGCAGTGGTCTCCAATCTTTTTACTTTTTGAATTTAAATGCAATCCAAGATCTACCTCAAACCCAAATACCCTAGCCCCGCCTCCTTTGTGCCCCTTTTCCAAGGCTTCACTCTTGCTCACTCCATCCTCCTTCCCTCCCCCATCTTCCCTCACTTTCACCAGGTTGGGGTAGAGGGTTGGAGTGCAGGCTCTGGTCTTGGGTTAAGGGATCTGGAGTGAGAGAGGGGTTCTGAGCTGAGCTTGGGGAAGGCAATTGGGGTGCCAGAGAGAGTTCTAGGTGTAGGCTCTGGGAGTGTGTTTGGATGCAGGAGTGCCCAGGGCAAGGGCAGGTGCTTCGAGTGCAGGAGGGGGTTCATGACTGCAGTAGGATTTCAGGATGTGGGCTCCAACTGGGCACTACTTACCTCAGGTGGCTCCTGGGTGGTGGTGCAGTGGGGCTAAGGCAGGCTAACCGCTGCCGTGGCCCTGCACCTCTCCCAAAAGCAGCCAGCAATCTCTATCCCAAGCCCTCTTGTGCTCCCTCCTTGGTCTGTGGAGATAGGCTACAGGGTGGGAAGGGGGACACTTTCTCCCTCCCCTGCACTGCACAGCAAACAGGAGGTTCCCGAGGGTGGGTGGAGGCAGCTCCATGGCAAAGGGCAGGAGATGCGCAGCAGTAGGGAGAGAGGCAGCTGAAGTGCCTGCACTTGACAGCCTCTTGGCCAAACCAGTCAGGATCACCTGTCAGAGGCTCCAAGATCTACCAGTAGATCCCGATCTACTGGTTGGTGATCACTGGTATATACTATGTACCTACTATGAAAAGCTATACCAGGGCTACTCAACTTTGGAAGCCCCGGGAGCCAGAATGATACTCACAGCACATGCCAAGGGCTGCAACTTAAGTGTGGTTGCATATACATGCAAATATATATGCAAACAGCTTCTTTCACACTGATGGGCATGAATACAAAGCACTTCCCACAATGCCCCAGCGCTCCCTGCTCAGTGGGGGCTGGAAACGCCGACACCTTGTACCCGTCTGTTCCAGCCAGCCTGTTCGCTTGTGTTTTTCAATGCCCTCCCCACCTGTGAGTGCCTTGCCATTGTGCAGCGTGTTCCCACTGGAAGTCATGTTCAAAGGATCCCACCCATGGGCCATGTGTTGAGCCCTGTGAAAACCCAAACTACTCCGCAGGGCTGCAAACAAACAGGGACCCCATGTTGAGTAGCCCTGATCTGTACCATCTACTCTAATATGATGGCTCACTATGACTAACCCTTTAACAACAGATAGTAAGGTTGAACAGGGGCACCCTTTGTTTCACTTTCCTGAAGAAGAATTCAAATTTCAAAGTTTGGGAAATGCAGTCATAAAGCTATCACAACCTGTTCCACCACTACCTCATCTCTTCCCATCCCCTTCCCCAAATGCCTGCATCCACACTCCACCCCCTACCTCCTGGAGCTTCCTGCTTGCTGCAAAACACTTGTTGGCACTGGGTGGGAGGTGCTGGGAGGAAGGGGCAGGAGATGATCATCAGCACCCAAGAGGCACTGGGAGAGAAAGGGGAAACTTGGCTGCTGGTGGGTGCTGAGCATCGATTAATTTTTCTCCATGGGTACGCCCAGCTCAGAGCATCTATGGAGTCAGCAGCTATGATTACAGCCCCAGAATTTAAAACCAGCTTGTTGGACCTCCCTGGTCTGGCACCGTTGGTATCTGACTGGTCCCAGATGAAGGATTTTTCCGGACCAGGTAAGGTCTTTTCAGGCTCCCTGTTGCCAGTTCCTCCCTGCACCCATCCCTACCTGGTTTCCTGGCTCCTCACACAGCCCAACTAAGCCACGTGCCGACTCCTGGCTCCCCCTTGTAGCCCAGCTGAGCTGCGCATTGGCTCCTGGCCCCCACCCACTTGCAATATGCAGGGACACTCTGATCCTGAAACATCCATGGTCATTCCAGACCATGGATGTTGCTGGATCAGAGAATCCCAGATTTTAGAGGTGCAACCTTAACTAGAGAGTAACTTATTCAGATGGTCAGAGTTGTGGATAAGCACACTTTAAATAAATCAAAAGGAAAAAAACAGAATGGTGGAACATGTAATTTATTAACTGAACAGAAACTTGGACACAAAAGGGAGATTTTCAAATAAGCGATGGAATTTGGGCCTAAATTTGGCTCCTGGGGTTTCAGACACCATACATAGACTAGATATGTAGCAGTCAATGTACAAGGGCTCCCTTTCAAAAAGCTGGTGTTTTTGAGACTAACCAATATTTCATCATGGCATGTACACCTTTGAATTACAGAGACTGAGGCAACACTATAGACATTATACTAGCATATCTGTACCACTGCAGGTACACTGCTGTAAGGTCTCCCATGTAGCCACTCTATGCCAGCAGGGAGGGCTCTTCTACCAGGATTATTAACCCACCCTCAATGAAAGGCCACAGCTATGTTAGCACTTTTGTTGGTGAAACTTATGTTGGTCAGAGATGTGTGTTTCATATGTCTGAGGAACAAAAGTTTTGCCAAAAAAAGTTCTAGTATAGACATACCTGAATGAAAAACACATCCATTCATTTTGCCTGGTCTGAGGAGATATGCCATTGCACTGCTGCAGGTTCCTATGACACCTTGGGCAAATCACATTAATCTCGCTGGGCTTTCACCCCGCCCCCCACATCTGTAAAATGTGTATACTAATACTTTCCTGACTCTTTGGGGTTTTATTAGGATAAATAAGTTAAAGATTATGAGACACTCTGATACTACATTAAGGGAGGCACACACATACACACTAGATCAGGCATGTCAAACTTGAAGCCTACTGAGGGCCGCACAAACGAAAACTGATAGCTTTCAGGGCCACCTAGGGTTCCCAGATGGTTTGTTGAGCAAAAAACAACAACCAAAAAATGCATTTTAGGTGACAGGCAGAAAGCACTAATACCGGACACCTGGCAAGCCTAGGGCCACCAAAGAAAATATACTTAGTTATGTATTATTATAGATTATGTTTTAGGTATATTTTATAATATTACAATAATTTGATGTGTAAAATTATTTGCTCATATTAAATAATGTTTAAATTAATTTTACATAATATTTTATTTAAATATAAATTTCAGGTACTTTTACATTTTGTATGATACATAACTTGTTTTGTTGAAATAAAAACAAGTATGTACCATGGTTAATCAAATAGAACAGGCTTCTGTGAAAATTTCAGGTACTTTGTAAGTTTGAGATTTTGCATAAAGATATAATTATTCATGGAATTGCAAAAAATTTATATTTATTGATATAAAATTAATATACATTTTGTGATTTTATTTAGGAATAAATAAATAAAAACCAAAATATTAACAAAATAATCCCTTCCTCTCCCCTAGAGCCAGGCACTCCCATACCCCTGTTCTAACCCAATCTCCCTCTGCTCCCACAGAGCCAAGTCCCCCCCAACCTAATGCCTCCCTCCTCCCCCGGAGCTGGGTCCCGGAGTTGATGTTGCTGTCTGAGGTGCTGGGGTGGTGTGAGCACAGCAGCCAGCTGTGAGCGCCTGCTGGAGCACCCAGCCAGCTGTCAGCGCATGCACAGAGCGGCCCAGCTAGCCGTGAGCAGTTGCTGCAGCACAGAGCAGCCTGGCCAGCTGTAAGCAGGCACTCGGCCCGTGCTCCGAGTGGCCCGTGGGCCACACTTCATTCTTTTATAAAAATGTTCTGGCAGGCCACAAAAAATTTAGATCGGGCCGCATGAGGCCCTCCAAATGCCAGTTTGACATGCCCGCACTAGATCAACTGGAGTTAGCGTGAGTACAAATAGCATAACCATGGTAGCATATGCAGCAGTAGCACAAATTAGCTCTACTGAGTGCAAGCTCAGTCGGACTCTGTAGACACACACTCAGCATGGTTTAGTTGTGCTGCTGCCTGTGCTACTGTGCCTAAACTATTTACACTAGCACTCACTGAGCTACTGTAAGTACATGTAAGCAGGCAAGCTGAGAATCCCACCTCTAAAGTACATAGGCAAGGTGGGAATCCCATAGAGTTGCCAGCCCTCCAACAGGGGCAACATGTGGGGGAGCAGGAACTCAAGGGATTACGTGACCTCAAACACTGCAAGTAGGAAGGGCCAGCCAGCAGCAGAGTTCTAAGAAAGGGCCTGATGCCCACAACAGGCGTCTGGCTCTCACTCGCACTCACCGTCAGCAGTAGGAGGAAGAGGAGCAAGGCAGAGCTGCCCCGCACTCTCTGGCAGGAAGCGGAGTGATGCAGCAATCAGAGGAACAAAGCAGCTGGGATATGGGGGTTGGACCCCTGCTGCTGGCCTCCCCAGTCCCACTAGTTCCCCAGGAGGAGGCTTCAGTTGGGAGAAGAGGCAGGGAAGGGGAAGAGTTGGGGTGGGGAAAGAGGCAGGTTGAGCAAAGGCAGGGAGGGGCAGGACTGGGCTGGAGGGGTGTCACATGGCTGGTGGCCCCTGGGTGCCTCCGACCAGTCACCACTATTTCCAGGAATTAAAGGTTAACCTTTAAATTAAATATTATGTAGTGTGATGCAACCAAAACTGGCAACCTAGAATCCCACCACTAGCTACTACGGTAAACGTAGTCTTAGAGGACATTAAAAAACTTCAGAGAAACAGAGTTTAGGATAAGTGGGAGGGAGGAGACAGGAAACAGACTTTGAAATATAGGTTTTTATTGGCTTCATTGTTGGAATGCTAGAACGGAAGGTGTCAGCTTGCTTTATAGAAGGGCTGTGCGTCAGAGTTTAGAATGCCTCCTAGCCTACTCATTCAGGATTAGTCTGAATAAGACCAGGAGGACAAAACCAAAGCTTCTTGTTTATCAAAGTTTGAGTCACTGAAGATGCATCACATCCCCTTTTACTTTTGCATTTTGCCTAAATAGCTGACATGCAGCTAATCAAGATAAGTAAGGGCACTGTGTGAAACACTACAAGCCGTCCTTGCTATAAATAACTTGGACTTATAGTGAAACAACTTAAAGCAGGGAATTTTTTTCCCACGGATGACTTCCATTTGCGCAAATTGGGGGTTTTTTTTTTTTTTTTTTTTTTTTTTTGCATTACTTAAGATCGGGGAATGGGAGGACTTTTCAGTTCCTACAAGCATCAATGACTTTAGTGCGGAACAGATTTATACCGGGGTGACATAGCGGGGGTGCCCTGTACTTACATTTCAAGAGCTCTGTTCAAAAAACAGCACAATAAACCAATTCTATTATGCCTGACTTTTCTTAAAGAGCCACAGACCAGCTGACATGAGAGCAGGGCTATTCAACTTTAGAGTCCTAGGGGCCAAAATGATACAGCACATGCCAAGGGCCGCAACTTAAGTGTGACTGCATGTACATGCAAATAGCTTCTTTCACACTGACAGGCATGAATACAAAGATTAAGGCAAGACTACACAACATTCAGGCTCCATTTAAGTCAGTTCTGCTGATATTAATAAAATGCAATGTTTACTTGATTTCTACCCATATGACACCACTTTTAATGAGCAATGACAGCCCAGGAATTTAACTACTAAATCACATATCAATAGAAGACTATTATATTGAGTATTTTTTTTGCTTTAGGCTCCCAACCGCAGGCTGCATGTTAAGTCCCGTGTAAATCCAAACCGCACCGCAGGCCACAAACAAATGGGCTGCAGGCCGAGTAACCCTGCATTAGAGGTATTCATGTTGTCCCATTTGCAAACACTGATATATGATTTAGGGGCTTAGGAATAGAACATAGTATTGTTTATTTCTAGACTACTGGCATGAAGTCAATAGGGTTGCCAGGTGTTCGGTTTTGAACTGGACAGTCCGATATTTGAGCTTTCTTTCTGGGAAACAAATTTATATGTCCAGTATTTTCTAATTAAGTAAACCAGGGCAGAGCGAGTATTATTCTCCCACCATCCAGGGCTGATTCACAGCTTCCAAGGACAGCGCCAATTTCTACCTGCGCATGGACAGCCTGAGAGCAGAGGACAGCGCCAAGTGTTACTGCACCAGAGACACAGCGAGAGGAAGCTGGTCTGGGCTCAGACACAAACCTTGCAGGCAGTAGAGGCTTGGTGGCTGGTGAGGCCAGGCAGAAGCAGGTGCGTCCAACTCATTCTGTCCAGGGCTCAGCAGGGCTCTGACCAGCCGCTCCCCAGAGCCAGGCCCCACCATGTCCCGCTGAAGGGAGAAGGGGAGCCCAGGGGCAGGCCCGGGGTGATGCTGAGCCTGGGGTACAGGTGAGTTAGCTTCCTGCTTTAGCTTCCTCTTGGGCACTCACACCCTGCCCTCCCCCATTCTCCTGCCAAAGGCTCCTGCCTCCAGCCCTCTGACCCCAAGGGCATGGAAAACGTAGGGTGGAGGACTGGGGCTTTCTATGAGTGAACCCCCAAAACACGCTCCATAGGATCACGGGATGATCTCGACAGATGTGAGGTCACCTCACTCCTCCCATCGGTGAGAGCATCCTGAGGATCCCACCGCCCAGGCACTGCACAGCCCATGGGGAGGGACCATCTGATGTTGCTCCCTAAGGCCAAGTGTAAAACACAGCGCATGAGTGTGTCTCTAATAATGGGGGGGGGGGGCCTGAGCAGGGAGCCAAGCCTGGCCATTCAGGGTACCATTCAAGTGCATGTTCTGCCCCTGAGTGATCCTTCCTCACTCCCTTATGCCCCATCTAAATCCTTGGGCAAAAAACTTCCCATATGATGTATATTTGGGGGGGGTCGACATATTTTTATCAAGCCTTTCTGGTATTTTTGTTGAAACCATCAGGCAACTCTAGAAGTCAACCCAATTAAATGGTGACCAGTATTAAACTACTCTTGTGTTGGGTATAAATTATTTCCTTTCTTTACAGGAAGTTCCTTGTGCAAGTTGTTTAAAGTTCAGATTGGTCTTGGGCAATCAAGTTTTTACGGATTTCTTCATATTCTTTTACTATAGGGATGAATGTGGGGGAAACAATTCCTGACGATGCCTCAGTCTGAAACAACCTACCGTCCTGTCATAGGTGAGATGAGCCTGGACCTTTGCCTGGGCATGGTCCTTTTCGCTGGACAACACGTACAAGGGATCTGAAATGACAGCAACCCCCCGGGACTCGTCTCAGGGCCAAACAAAACGAAGGGAGCCAGGCTGCTCCTGCAGAGCGGGCGGTGCACAGGCGGGACCAGACAGACAGACAAAGGCGCGATTCTGGTCCTGTCATAGGTGAGATGAGCCTGGACCTTTGCCTGGGCATGGTCCTTTTCGCTGGACAACACGTACAAGGGATCTGAAATGACAGCAACCCCCCGGGACTCGTCTCAGGGCCAAACAAAACGAAGGGAGCCAGGCTGCTCCTGCAGAGCGGGCGGTGCACAGGCGGGACCAGACAGACAGACAAAGGCGCGATTCTGCGCAGGCGCGGCGGCGGGGAGCGAGCGGCGCAGCATGGCCCAGGGGCGCTCAGCGGCGGCACCACCACGGCCGTGCCCGG